CCCAATATTGCGTTCATCTAGACAGCTGTTTCAAACTTGGGTCTCTCCCGCCCCCCCCCCCAAATTGCACAGAAACAAAAGCTGCTCTCTAAATGCTGATAGGCAAGACCAGACGTCAGACGTCAGGTTGATCAGGTGCTGTACATGCCAAATGCGTTTCGATCCTCTTCGCTTAAGAGAGGGCTTGTAGTAAGTTAACGGCAGTTTTGTTCTCTAAAAATTGTTGCGAGTATTAAATGCTTTGGAAGGAATTCTATAAGGGTTTTACGAGTGATGAATCATACGTCGCTTGGCGTCGAACAAACGGGACGGGATATCGGTCGGCTGGACGTAGGTAGTAGTTCACTTCATTCACAATTCATTTGGCACAAAGCCATTGTGGATGAAGAACATTAGCAAATGCAATCTAAACCAATCCCGTTTATTCGCTCCTGCACTCGTCGAAATTCATGATAAGAAAATTAAAAAATTGCATGTGATTTTTCTTACTTTAACTGAAGCAGCAAGTTACTTCCGTAGATTACGCTTTTTCGCAAACTGCACAAAACAGTCTCAGTGAGTGGCATTTGCTCACTATAGAAAAAACAAGGCATTACGTTTTGCCCGTTTGTTCAGGAACCTGACTGTAACTGAGGCAAGCTTCTTACTAACTTGATGAAGTCCCTGAGACTCGATTAGTAGCTCACTAAAGCAACTCGCAGCGCAGCAATCGGCTGAAAAATATAGCCACAACAACTTGGTACGAAATGTGATTGCAGCCAACTGGACATGTGACGCACGAATAGTCTAAACAGGAGTCTTAACTTTGAGTTATCAGAAGTACCTACTGATAGTGTTAACATCGTACCTGAAACGAAGTAAGCAGATCTGGAACGTGACCAAGTGGCAGGAACACCTTGAAGCGTCATCTTGCATTAATGGAACGATTTAGATCATCAGATAAACTCGCTGAGAGCACATGACGGCAAGGGCATAGCCATTGTTGACAGCTGATGTGCAGTGCGACAGGTACCTGTCAGCAGAAAGATGAAAAGTTTGGCTTCCTCAGATCGAGAGCATCCAACGACATATTCGATTCGATTCATAATCAAGTGATAATTTTCCAATCTGTGGTAGCATTTGCCAGAATGGTTTCTGTTGAAGACATGTCAGACAAGATCCTTAGTCAGATTTTATTGCTTTCTACTTTCAGATGCAGTAAGAACTACTTACAGAAACAGTAAGTTGCGTATTATTCATGAAGCTTTAACTAAACTATTCATTTTTGCCTTTTTAAGTTCAGCTATATGGCTCGTTTTTATACCGCAGCTTTTTGCTATATTCAGATGATTTGCAATATCTTTGCTACGTTTCCTCGTTCTTGAACAGAATCAACAAATAATGCCATATCATCACCACTGGCATCCTCGCCACTGACCTTGCTATTGTGACGCAATACTTTCGTCAGTGGAAGCTGAACTCAAACTGGACGAAGACCAGAACGACCGTCCTCCACCAGGAAAACCGACTGGTTAGAAAGAAGCTCCCAATTGGGTCCTGTAATCAACGCATGCCGCACTAACTGACAGTAAAATATCAAGGCGTCGCTCATTCTTGATCAGACCCTTACGTTTAAGTCACATCTTGGAAAGACACAGCAGAAGATCAAGGCGACGAAAAATCCGTTACGAAAACTTGCCTGCACCTCTCAGGGTGCAGGTGCCTGAGTTCTGGCGCTCGTGCCCTCTCTCGTGGAGTACTGCCTCCTGTTGGAAGGCTACATCTGTCACACGTATGTCAATAAACAAATACGAATTGTAGCGTGAACCAAGCGCCGTGGTTGTCGACTCTGGCACATACTGAACCACTTTACATCCGGAGGAGCGAGCAGGCTTATC